TAATATGCAGTTTGAGTCTATAATTTTATGAAATGGATTATTTTAGGACAGAAGGTTTTTGTGTGGGAATATTAATAACCTTTACTTTAATCAGTTTCAAAAAAAAATAAAGTTTATTTTTTTCTCTAAAAGTCTCATCTATGGCTAGATATAAAGGGCATGTTGATTCTGAGCTCTGAGTATGAAGAGAGCCTCTCAGAAGCTGGATTATCCGACAGTCACTTGAATAACCACACTAGTGTTGAGTGGTGTCCAGCTGCCACCAGATAGCTGTTGAGAAGAACTTTAAGGTGAATTAAAACACAGAGTTTAAACAGCTGGTCCCAATTGGCCTGCTCTCCGTGTTGACTGGGTCTGTTTTGAGGAATTTAAAAATCCTTGTTTTGTGGATGTAATTCGAAGTAACAAATATAGAATGGTTTCTTTTGTGTTATCGGATTTTTTGTTGTTGTTGTTGTCTAGTTTATTTCAAATGTGTAGCTTTTAAAAGTCTCTATTAAGTCTGTCAATATTATACCTTAGATGGATTGTTCTATAAGAACACATATCTCCAACAGATTTTATTCATTTTGCAAACATTTATTGAACACATTCTTGTCTTTGTCCATTCTGATATATATGCAGTATAATTATTCTTGGTAAACTTCATGGAAGTGACATTTAATTGCTAGAAACAAAATTTACATGCCTTTTTCTAGGCATGTAATTATTCCATGGACTAAGTGATCATCTATAATTTGGGTCTCTTATTTTGAATTACTTAATATAACTCTCTGTACCTATATTACTGTATATGAAAATCAAAGATCAAGGACTGAGGTACTTGAGAAAATAGTGAAAATTATGGCACTTGTAAAAGAGGGAAAGCAGATTCTGGCATGGGTATAGATCCTCTCCTGAAAATGAACACAGGTTCTTTGTTCATAGGTACATTGTTGGTGTTTTACACAGGCTGAACTGAAGAATGTCTTTTGTGGTTGTGTTACTGGCCAAACTAGACAATTCATTCAGCTGAGCATTTGTGGTGTAAACTGACCTGTGTGATATAAGCTGATTGAGGAAATGTTAATCGAAAGGCAATAATTTGCCAAAGCCTAAGGAATTAAAACTTCTAGATTGAGTTTCAGATTATGTTCTAAGTATTTGTCCCTGTGAGTTTACTTCTTGATTTCTGTTTCACACAGGAAGGTCTTAAGTGATTTTCTATGTTGTATCTGCAGTTTGACTTTATTTAAAATAAGCTTCTATAGTTATTGCCTATTAATGATGTATTTCCCCTAGGAATTCCTTTGAGCATTCATATTCCAGGGATTCTGTAATTGGGTGCATTTTCTTATCTCCACTTCTTTATCGGGACTAGTCTGGAATGGAGTACACCTAGAGAAGTGAAGGCTACTCAGGGCGTGGGAGACTCGAGTTATCCAAACGGAAAGAGTAGTGCAGAGGCCAAGTAAAGTTCAAGCGGACACCAAGTTCGCTGAGTTCCATAGCCAAGTAGTTCAATGCAGAAGTGAGGTTTGAGATGATGATCCCCAAACAAGTGAAGGCCAAGAATCTGGAGGGTTGGAAAAACCAAGATGAGTAAAGCAATAAAGTACCATGATATGGCTTGCTGGTGGTAGGAAGGGTCAGATCAGGAGTAATTAAGAGAGTAGCGAGTAACCAGATGCATTTAGGTTAGTCCTACAGGCTTCAGGAGAGGGTAGGTTGGTCCCAGATGGTTAATGGTCCCAGATTCTGTTGGGAAAGTACATCCATACTGTATTACTGAACTGTATCTGTTACTCTGAGTCACTCTATAGAATGTTAAAAGCAATCTAAATCTGTCCTTTCCAACTGGAGTTTTTTTCTTTAATGGCAGATATTTGTCAAGGCCTGGTTGCTTATTATGACTGGTGAAATTCAAACTTACTTGAAATGAAAGCTAATTTTATTAAAGGAGGACATTCTTAATTAAGATAGAGTATCAACTACATTTTATAAAACATTTTTTCTAGCTGAAATTGGAGTTTGGGTTCTTCTGTAAATATCTGCAGTAAGTGGGTATGTTTTTTGACTTATATTCAGCACTGTGCATATTTCTAGTGTTAGACTCGCATGTTGAATTTAAATGAAAACACAGGACGATCTCCTGATCTGGAGGTAGGAATAGCTTAGGCTGATCGGTAACACTGAACAAATCCATTTAGGAAAAATAGTCAAAGAACAATGCCCACCAACTGTTTGAGTGATGATAGCTTCTGGTGACTTTGGGTTCCCATCTAAGTTGCTCTTTGTTTCTGGGCATTGTCAGATGTTACTATGAGCTTAGGAGAGAGCTGCAGCCAATTCACGTGCATATGTTTTAGCATGTCAGTCCTGCAGGTTTCTGCACTTTGACCATGGTCTGATAGACCAGGACTTCCTGTATTGTATTTAATGAATGAAAAATGATAGTATGGTTAGAAAACTATGACTAGATTATGTTCAGGATGTAAAGTTGCTGCATGGCCTTTTGAGATCGGCAGCTCATGTGGCGTTAAAACCCACTGAGTTATGGCTTCTGATCAGAAGACTTGAGTGTCATCTTAAGAAGTTTTTCATGATCTATCCTGCCTAGGAAATTGGCAGGTGATAAGGGAGGACATCTAGGAATGTGACTTTTAGAAATTATAAAAGTGTTACAATCTTTTTTCCTAGGAAAAGACATGATATTTTACGTAGCGTAAAAAAAGCAGAATGGGTTTTTTGGGGGGAATATATGGGAGTTTTTTTTTTTAAACAACAATTAACAAAACAGTCATTATCTACAAGTTGTCTATGTAGAAGATAAAGGAATAGTAGGTCATGATCCTTGCCCTCAGAGAGTTCTCGGTCTCGAGGTGGCCGAGTACATGCACTAGTGGGTTTGTACAATAGTGTAATGTAAGTACGTGCTAGATGCAGGCGTCGTGTTCCACTCCTCCTTTTCCCTCTTGAGCCAGGGCATATAAGGCTCGCTTTTATTTGCAGTTTTAAGCACATGTCCAATTTCTGATTTGTATCTGCCTAATTTGTTCAGTAATGTGAAAGTTACAGCTTTAAGAAAGAATTTGTAATGGGACAATGTATACATTTCACAGAATAACAGTGGTATAAGTGACTAAGAATTTGACATCAAATTTCACTTGATACCATTGGGTGACTCAAGGTTCCACAAATAAATAGCAGGTCGTACTCATCCCCTGTAGTCCACCACTTCTTGTCTTAACTGGTCTTGATTTTAGCTAAATAAATCACCATATTCTAGTCATTTAGGTTCACCTTAATATTTGGCTTCTCATATTTCTTGCACTTAAGATGTTGCACAGTATCTTTCACTTGTAGTTTAACATTCTGAATTTGGAACCATGTACATATATTACTATCCACTAAATCAGTGAAATCAAACACACAGAACATGCAATAGCCTGTAAAGTTGGTGTGATTTTTTTTTTTTTTTTTAAATTCAGTATCTTCGGCGGGCCATTTTGGTTTCTGGGAAGCATGGGTTCACTCTCCTGCCTGGGGGCACTGATTGAGAAGCACCACATTGTGATCTGAGACTTAAATATTTGACAGTGCTATAGTAGAATTTTTTATAATTGTTAAGTAGGAAATTTTGAGTCTGGATTTTGTAAATATTGTGTAATACTCTAAATAAAAAATCTTATGTATATTATATGTTTATTATATGTATTCCTGCCCAGCTCTGGTCATTTGTGTAGTGGTATAAAATAATGGCTCCTCCACAGACATTAGCTCTGTTCTATGGAATTGTCAGACTTAGGACCCAGCACTTGTTGGAACAAGCATGTTTGTTATAAATTAATGACCGTATGGTATCTTTTTTTTAACAGTTGATTTTCCTCCCCACCTAAACAAGTCTTCAGTGAAAGGCTGCCATCTTGTGGTTTTTAAAAATACAGGACTTAAGAAAAAAATTATTGATATGACTGCTGAGATTTTTTTTTAATGATACCAAAATGAGTAAAAATACTATTAAATCTTCTCTTCAAATTACATTTGCTTATCCTTTGGACAGATTTTTTTCTTCATTTTATTTTAATATCACAGATTTTTTTTATTTCTATAAATTAAAAATTCCTTTTTTAGCCCACGTCAAACATTAGTAGTAGAAATGCTCTTGTACAATTGCAGTTTTAATTAAGAACAGGTATTGCGAATTTTGATATTATTAAGGCTTTTCTGGTGTCACTAATAATAGAATTACTTGGATAAACAATACTGTTCTTTAAAATGTAAATATTTGACAAAATATATCCAGAGGAACTTTAATTTTATAATGTAGAGCTCCATTTAATAAAAAGTGATATTTAGAAGAAAAACCTCAATTTGGATCTCATTTTTGGGTAGTTAATATAAACTGAAGTAATTAATTTTTCTTCAGATTTTAGGGACACCCTTATTTATAGTTAGGGAAATATTAAAATCACCTCTTATCTAAGCATTGGAAAGTGCTTGCGAGCTCAGGGTCAGTTCTTATTATAGTATCAAGGGAGTATGATATATCATTAAATTATAAAAATACCTTTTAAAATAACTTTTCATTTATTTAATCTCATATATTTTATATCTTGATTTCTGTCTCCTGTACATCTTGGTTTATAGTATTAATTGTATTTTAAAATAATAAATACTCATTTCTTTAAAAATGTCTTTTTACTGAAACGTAGTGCCTCTTTATAGAACAAGGAGGACATGTTCTCGCTCAGAGACAACCAGGATTCTGGTACATTGGTCCTTTGGACTTCTGTGATCTGTAGTCATTAGTAATCATGGAAAGGAAATCAATGAAAGAGAAAGATGTTATCTTCAAAAAACTCTAGATATAATGCTCCTGAATTGCTCATCTAATTTTATGCAGATTATGGCAGCCTTTATTTAAACTGCCTCTTTTGTTTCCCCATTAAGCAGGGAGGGAGAAGGATTCAGGTCAGAAGTGTAATCCAATGTCTTGCACTTTTTCAAATGTTTTACAGTTATGCTAAAAAAGAATCTGATCTTAATGGAGCTCAGATTAAGCTTCGAGAATATGAAGCAGCACTGAATTCTAAAGATGCAGCTCTGGCCACTGCACTTGGTGACAAAAAAAGTTTAGAGGGAGAACTGGAGGATATGAAAGATCAGATTGCCC